AAAAAAAAAAAAAAAGGGCCTCCATATTGAAGAAAGATTTTCACTTGACAGACTAACATTTTGGATGATAATTGTTAAGGTGAAATAAAGTGATACAAACCTGTTAAAGAGACATTTGTTCATTTTTACTTAAATCTAGACTTTATTTAACCCTTTATGACTAAAACATAGTTTGATGAGCAGACTGACACTTCAGCAGTTCAGCACCAATGCATTTATAAGCATATACAGTATCTGTATATGTGCATAAGCTGTTAACTGGGTCAGAAGTTTATGTGTTCTTCTGCGGATTTGACGTCAAACATGTCCTTGTTAAATGGGTCCAACCTAGCGAATGATTGAAACGTTCTATTCAAGATTGAAATTGTGGATAATCAGAAACGACTGGCGTCCAGCTTAACTCAAATACTAGTGGCAATAAAGTGAAAAAAGTACAAAAATAAAACATAACAAAAAAAAATAACATGCTTCTTCAATTTAACTCTAAAGAAGGTGGAACTATACACCCTGAAAAGGTGTTACACTCAACACTGGGCATTTTGCTGTGAAGTTAGATCAGATTTTTTTTTTTTTTTTTAGGAACACTAACACTGTGAGATGATTGCACCATCTCCAATGTTAAATACGGTTGAGGTAGCATCAAAGAGAAAAGCTTTAAAAAAAATCCATTTAATCTGACAGTTCTTTCGGAGGTAGAGTTTATACAAAAACTTCAGCATATGAAGTTACAAATCATAAACAGACCAAAAGGTTGCATTTTAGTAACACACCGGAAATATCAGCAATGCGGATGACATAAGCCTATAAAATGAAAAGCTTCCCCCTTTTTCGGGGAAATATTGATAACAATAATCATCTTTATTTTTCATTGCAACTGTGTACATTGAAATAAAATGTGTCCTCTGCTTATAACCCATAACTTCAGAAGCAGTGGCTTATTGTTCTGCAGTGCTTGGGAGGCCTTCTGATGCTGAGCGTCTGGCCCAGACACCCAGCTTGGCCATCTTTAAAACCACAGAACATGCAGACTTCCCAGGATGCAAACACCATGCTCTAACCACTACGTAACCCCTTCCCATTGAATAAGGGAATGAGCAGTTATCATAGCACCAGTTTTTATTCTTTAATTATAGAGTTTCTATATAGAGCATAGAAAACACAGATATGCTTCAAGCACTGCACCAATTAAACAGAGGTGTCAAAAGTATTAATGTGTATTACTCAACCAGAAGTGTAAATCCTACTGTTTAAAAACACTTACTTAGAAGCTGGAGTATCAACTTAAGCTTTTTACTCAAGTAGAAGTGTAAAAGTACAATATTTAAAACTACTTCAAGTGTAAAAGTAAAAGTACTGGTACTGTAATGCAGATGCTTAAAACTTCATACTGGTTATTGCATTACCCTATTAGAGGAACATTCTCTGGATGATGACTTCCTCATACTTAATTTTCTTAGTTCTATAACTAATGGTAACAATGTCAAATTTTATTTTGCATTATCTTGAAAAACTTTTTATTTGGAGCAGTACAGAGTCCAACCACAAAGACATTGTCTGGATAACTAAAAAAACTAAATTGAGATTAAATTAAACAAAAACTAACAAGTCTATTTTTGAAATGTAAGGAGTAGAAATCAGAGATAAATGCAAAAATATAGGTAGCCAAAATTTCTACTTAAGTAAGGTAACAAATTATTTGTACTTTGTTACTTGACACCTCGGCATTTAAATCATTCTTATTTCTAAAGTGACATGGTAGTCACCTCTTAGCTTGTCTCCCACGGAGGTGAAAAATAGAAAAAGAGGGAATGCTGATCAGAAGAGAAATGCTAAGAGCAGATGGTAGAGTTGGCCCTTTGGGTGATTATAGACACAGCTGTCAGTCACTTTGCATTTATGTGCCTCTGTATTTGCTTGTGAAGCTCTGACTTATCCCATGTGTTCCCCAGTTTCCTTCCATCTTGGTAATGTTAGATCACATGCACGTGTTTATTGCTGTAACATTCTTCTCCAAATGGTTGGATGTGTTTGTAGAAAAAAAAAAAAAAAAAAAAAAAATTAAAAATGCAGACTTTCCATCACCTGTTCACACTCTCTCATTTACTCTCAGATCTCAGTGCCTGCATCATGAGGTGTTATCACCCTCTAGTTGTAGTTCATGTTATTGCAGCATTTTCAGGCCATACACATTTACACATAACTTGTTGCCATTGACTAAAAATACCTTTGAGCTTAAGCAGTTGCTGCCTTGCTTGGTCTTAAGAACAATATCATTTTGATTAACTTAGGAAAAATACAATGATTACCTGCCTAATATCGTATCTTTAAATATATATGGAATGAATGCATTATTCTATTTTTAAATAAGTTGGAGATTATATACTCATTTTTAACAGATAAAATAATCCCATAAAATAAAACGAATCCACCATCTTTTAGCAGGGGCTGAGAGCTAGACATTCTCATCTTAAGGGGTTCAGCCCAAAACATATTTCATAATCAAGTTGATGTTATTTTTGCATCCTACCTATTTGTTAACATTTAAATATCATTAAGGACTTAATATTGTTAAGGAAATACAATTTTGTCTGAGAGGATGTAAGTGCATGCAACTTTTTCAGTTCTGATACGATGCCGATATTGCAGCTTTGAGAATTGGCCAATAAGGCCGATATTGACCGGATACAATATTAGAACAAAATATCTCAGCTTTTATTGTCTATATTAGATGTTAGAATATTAGAAAAGGCTAGTTCAAATAATTTCACTAAAACATGGTCCAAAATTCAACAGAAGGTATGAAAACAAATGACTAATGTATAATTAGCCAACGAGTTACAGAAACTTCTAAATTAAAAGAAGCAAAGTGTTTCTATCAGCAATAAAATATCAGAGATTTTAGATGCTGGCTGATAGAATGCAATATAAGCTTTTTGGCTGATATTGGACATATATTAATATTGGATAGGGACATCCAAAGTAGGTAAATTGGCATGTAAATCTGAGCATATTAACGGTGGCTGGCACCACAAAATAAACTGCTCTCTTTGCCATTACTACTAATATAGCATTTATAGTGTAACCTCAAATTAATTTACCTGAAATTTCATGTCTAAATTCAAAGGAAAGAACATGAACTATGGCAAGTGTT